GGAAATAAAATAATTAATAAAATTTTATTTCTAGTAATAAAGAAAATATTTAAATAACAAAGTTTTATTTTACTTTGTATTATAAGAAATAAAAATATAAAAAACAAAGTTTTATCTCACTTTGTAATAAAGAAAAAAATTTGAATAATAAAGTTTTATCTCACTTTGTATTATAAGAAACAAAAATACAAAAATTAAAGCTTTATTTGAATTTGTTTTAAATAAAATAAAAATAAATAACAAAGTTTTATCTCACTTTGTAATAAAGAAATAATTTTAGATTATATTATATTATAAGATGTAAGAAATCACAATTTATCTTAAAATCCAATTTTAAAAAAAAAAATAATTTCTAAAGAAATTCTTACAAAATTAACTTATTTTATTCCTAAAAAAATAATAATACAATTTAACTTCTAAAAAATTACTACAAAAAGAAATTAAAAAATCAAAAAAAAATCATCCTATATTCTCTAAAAGAAACACCAAATCCAAATATTACCTTAAAATCTGAAGAGAAAGTTAGATCCTAAAAAAAAATAAAAAGTTAAAAAAACCTCTTTCAAACCCAAATATTATTTTAGGAACCAAAGAGAAAGTTCAATTCTATAAAAAAAAAAATTAAAATTAAAAAAATTATCCTAACCACTTTCTAAAACATAAACTCAAATATTACCTTAGGATCTAAAGAGAAAGTTCGATCCTAAAGAAATAAAAAAGAAATTTTATAATAAAAATTCAAACCCAAATAATCTAAGAGAAAGATTAACTCTAACAAAAAAAAAATTTAATTATAAAGCTCCTTTCCACTGAAATCAAAAGTACCTTAGAATCCAGAGAAAAAAAAACCTCCAAAGAATAATTACAAAAAAGAAAAGAAAAAAACAAATATTAAAAAATAAAGAAATGAAAAAATCCACTTACCCATTTTCGATGACAACTTACCTTCAGAATTTTCTATAGGAACCCATGAAAAAATAACTATTCTCTAAGAGAATTCGTTATTTTGGTAGACTCATTATAAAAACCTGTTAAAAATAACGATTCTCTAAGAGAATTTGTTATTTTAGCAGACCCACTATGGAAATCCGCTAAAAATAACGATTCTTTAAGAGAATTCGTTATTTTAGCAAACCCATTATGGAAACCCATTAAAAATAATGATTCTCTAAGAGAATTCATTATTTTAGTGAATCCACTATAGGAAACTGTTAAAAAATAATGATTCTCTAAGAGAATTCATTATTTTGGTAAAACCACTATAGGAGACTGCTAAAGATAATGATTCTCTAAGAGAATTTGTTATTTTAGCAGACTCATTATGAAAAACTGTTAAAAATAACGATTTTCTAAGAGAATTCGTTATTTTGGCAGAACCAATATGAGAGACCGCTAAAGATAACAATTCTCTAAGAGAATTCGTTATTTTAGCGAACTCTCTATAGGAACCACCAAATATGACGATTCTCTAAAAGAATTCATTATTTTGGTAGAACCATTATGGAAGCCCGCTAAAAATAATTATTCTCTAAAAGAATTCATTATATTGGTAGACCCACTATAAGAACCTATTAAAAATAATGATTCTCTAAAAGAATTCGTTATTTCTCTATAGAAACCCATCAAATATGACGATTCTCTAAGAGAAAATCATTATTTTGGTGAATTCTCTATGGGAACTCGCCAAATTTGATGATTCTCTAAGAGAATTCATTATTTTGGCAGACTCACTATGGGAATCAGTTAAAAGTAATAATTCTCTAAAAGAAAATTGTTATTTTGGCGAATACTATATGAGAACCCACCAAATTTGACAATTTTTTAAGAGAAATCATTATTTTGGCAAACTCTCTATAGAAACCCACCAAATATGACGATTCTTTAAGAGAAAATCATTATTTTGGTGAATTCTCTATAGAAACTTGCCAAATTTGACGATTTTCTAAGAAAATTCGTTATTTTGGCGGACCCACTATAGGAATCAGTTTAAAGTAACGATTCTCTAAAAGAAAATCATTATTTTGGCGAATACTGTATGAAAACCCGCCAAATTTGACGATTCTTTAAGAGAAATCATTATTTTGGCAGAACCACTATGGGAATCTGTCAAAAATAATGATTCTTTAAGAGAATTCATTATTTTGGCGAACTCTCTATTGGAATTCGCTAAATATGACGATTCTCTAAGAGAAAATCATTATTTTGGTAAATCCTCTATAGGAACTTGCCAAATTGACGATTCTCTAAGAGAAATCATTATTTTGGTAGACCCGCTATGGGAACTGGTTAAAAGTAATGATTCTCTAAGAAAAAATCATTATTTTGGCGAATACTGTATGGGAACTCGCCAAATTTGATGATTATTTAAGAGAAATCATTATTTTGGTGGAACCACTATGAGAACACGTCAAAAATAATAATTCTCTAAGAGAATTCATTATTTTGGCAGACTCACTATGAGAACCCATCAAAAATAACAATTCTCTAAGAGAAATTGAAAATCATCAATTTTTAATTTTTTTATAAATTAAGATTTTTTTTTTGTTTTTTTTTTTAATACAATTTTTTAAAAATTAAATAAAAATCATGACAACTTCATTAATTGGTATTAAAAAAACTAA